TTCACCGCCGGATATTTGACCGTCAAATTTGAATTTGACGACTTTCTTTGGACGTATATTACACATGATTTACATGAATGACGAAAATATTTTTATCCTTATGTATTCAAGTGCCAACATTCCCAGCTAGATTCAATGTTTCCGTTTCGAAACCTGTCACACCGGCAGCGACAACAACGACAACCAGTCGTCCAGAAACTCGCAGAACTTCTACACCCAGAAGAGTTATTGAAACTCCTGAGGAAGATTACGAGTATTCCACTGGTAAGCTGAATTTTAATTCAAATATTATAATTTGTAATTTTAAACTTGGTTGAAAAGGCTTTTCAATCGCGCTCTTAAAAGAAAAAGAGGAAACGAGGGGGAAAATGTTGATGTAATTTTGTTGTGCGGCCGAATAACCAACGAAATTCGTAAAAATTTCCCTCCAATCTTGCGAGACAAACATTCATTAAATGCAACGTTTTTTTAAGTTTTAAGCCCAGGAAAGAAAAGGCGCTTCATCGCTTTTTTTTTTTAGAAAATGAGCAACTAAATAAATCTGCCCAGATTTTCAAAAATCTCCGAAGATCATTAAAACAGACGGATTATTTGGAAACTTCTTATTGTTTTCATTCCGTATAAAATAAGGGTTCTAGAAATTGCCGCAAGAAGATGAGGATCCGTAAATGTTTGAAAATTCTCCATTTTTCAAAAATAAAATTGAAGTTTTCTGCGAATTCTAACGTGGGCAGATTTTTTCCTTCCGCGAACTCGGATTTTCTACTGCTCAAGTTTCAGTCATTCGCAGATAATTGATGATTTTCGGACATCACTGGAGAATATGATGATTTATCTTTCGGGAGAACTTTTGTTTTCCTGTGAGAGATTTCAGGAAATTTTCGGTAATCATTAATTTTTAACTCACGCTTAACTTGCAGAGAAAATGGGTGACGCCTTCGTGGCTTATTTTATTTTCTCATGCAGCAGTAAATTTGTTTAGAGGAACATTTTCGTACGGTATAAGGAAGACTTCAAATTTTTCAAAAATTTCTTTCTAATTTTTTGATCTCCTGAACTTTCCATCTTTTGCTCGAAATACTGGGGGGGGGGGGGAAGATGAAGATAGGTGGGTATCAGACCTTTGTATTTCCAGCGCTAAACTTTATAATTCGGTCTCGGAATTCTTCCGGAAGTAGCGGGTGCAACAAAAAATTGCCAAAAGAGAGGGGAAAAAATCTGTTAAAATCAGGGAAATTTCCCGTATATTCAGGCCTTCATGATATTAATGTGTGTTCATTCGCAGAAGAAATCCCGGTTGTTCCTTCGTCGAGGCCTCGTCTTCCACCACCGGATTTGTCGAAGCAGTGCGCCTTGCCACAACAACCAGCTGCGGATCCGGACGTGAATTCCGACAGCGGATTCCGATTTGGCAACTCCAAGGACAGTCGCATGGAGTTCCAAACCGTGGGCGACCTCAAGAGAAACACCCGATTTTCAGTTTCCTTCAAGACCTATGCCCAGGAAGGCGTCATCTTCTACGTGTCCGACAAATCCCACACAGACAAGATCGCTCTGTTCTTGAAGAATGGATCGGTGAGAATTGACGAAGGAAATGCAGTGTTTTACATATTTATATACGGTATATAAAATCCTGATGATGGAAAGAAAAGTTGTATGCGTTTCTGAGTTGATGCGCTGAACATGTACTAATTTTTAGAGAAAAACCAACGATTTTTTCTTGTGTTCATATATAGGAGACATACGAGGGGTCAAAAATTTGATAAATTCTTTTTTTTTTTAAGTTGATGTCATTTTAAGCGTGCAGTCCTCTCGCATATTCATGATGCTTAATATTTTATTTTGTGAATAATCTTAATTTCGTTTGACTTAGACTGCATATTGAGTAAATAATTTAAAAAAATAACGCTCTATGCAATTTATGGGATTGGAACACATTTTAAATTTATTTTTTTTCCATATCCCGAAGTCCGAAATGCCTTAAAAAAGCATTCAAATTATTTTTTGCGTGCCTTATTAATTTTTTGACGAGCCGAAATTGATGACCCTGTGTAAATTTGATGGAATTTGATGGGTTTTAAGCATAATTTTTGCAATTGAACGCTATATTCGTGCGGTGAATAAAAATAAAGTACTTCGTGTGCTTTCCATGTGCAGCTCAATTTTTCATAATAGGCATTGCACTTTTCATCTTCAACGTACTGTAGCTTGAATTTTTCAACAAATTACGGAGATGTAATAAGGAGAAAGTGATGCAATGAAATACTAGGAGTTTTTCTGATGAAAAGTGCCAGAGGAATGCTTCTCAAATAGTTTTCCTCATAATACAGTTACGTTCTCGAGACAATTGTCGAGAAATTCTAGAATCCTCTTCATTTTTCCAGAATTGCATATATCTCAGCATCACCAACGGAGGTTAAATCAATTAATGAAACGTTTAATTGAAAGAAAGTGAAAGATTTGCTCTGCTGATGTAAAATAGTTCCCCATATGTCGCTCAAAATTATATAGCTTGGCAACACTGCTTCAAGATCTTTATCGCGAAGTACAGTTTTTCCGAGACAATAATTCAGGCATTGTAGAATCCTCTTCCGTGTTTTCCTTAAATGGGTTTGAATTTAAAAACAAAATTTGAGGCAGGTGAATTATAGTTT